TGCTGTATTGAAAGAACAACTCACGATATTAAGTAACTTACAAAATTCTATTCTGTTCTTGATAGCTGTATTTGTCCTACTAGTGATGAGACCACAAAATCATCATTCTCTGCTTTTTGCATGTTTTGCAAGATTCCGTATTTAATATTTGAGACTACGAGATACAGAAAACCTAAATCCTTCATCTGTATCTTAGCAAATACCATAAAGTTCTAAACTGATATCTATGGATAAGTCTTTGTATTAAGATATTTATCATCATTTTTGTAGCATTTTTAAAAAAGAAAACCTAATATTGATTTTTTAAATAATTATATTTTTTAAAATTTTATTTTAAAGAGAATAAAACAAAGGAGAACAGAACAAAGTAGATCAGAACAGAACAATGTAAGCAACACAGCACTTTACAAGACAACTAGATATTAACAGTAGCTACCATAATGTCTCTTTCTTTGAAATAGTTGAGCATACCTTCACATACAATATCAAACATAACAAAATATTACAAAACGATTCATGAGAATGAAAGTATTAGAAGGCATTCAGAACTAAATAACAGACAATGAACAATGGCTACTATAGTATCTCATTTTCCATAAAAACTTTGTTTGTACTGTCACACTTAATAAAATCCAATAAGACACAACATGATAGAACCAATGGAAATAGAAAAACAAAAGCATGGTAGGACTTCAAAGCAAGTGATATTAAATCAGCAATGGCTGCCATAATGTCTTGTTTTCTTCAAAGTAGCTGTTCATACCATCACACATAATAAAATCAAACAAAGCAGAATAAAACCATTCCAAATAATGAATAAGGCTTCAAAGCAATGTAATGGGGAATCATGATTACCATAAAATCTTATGTACTTTTACCATTTCTTACACTAGGAAAACCATACGGTATTTATACATGTGAGTTTGATTTATTTCACTTATGAATACGATCTCAAGTTGCATCCATTTATTTATAAATATCTCATTGTGATCATTCTTTATAGCTGAGTAGTACTCCATTGTATAAAACTATCACAGCTCTTTTATCCATTCCTCAGTTGATGGGCACTTAGATTGTTTCCAAGATCTGGCTATTATAAATTGTTCAGCTATTTGATAATTATATTAATCTTTTGTATAATCCAAAGTAGGAGGACTAAAAGCATAAAGGATTTTCTATAAATTACTGAGTTCAAAGTTGTATCTTGACAAGCTTGGTCTACTCTTTCAACCAAAATGTTCAGTTTGGTGAAAATGAGTAGATTCAAAAGATACTAGAATCATAAAATTATCCCTAATAGAGTGGGGCAAGACCTACCCGATAGTTTGACAAGTGAAGGCATAAAGCAGTTAAAGCATTTATTCAAGGGCACAGAACTTGTATGTAGTAGGGAGCAGGTTAGATTATAGGGTTATAGGTCTTGTGCTTTAAAATCAGGCAAACTCAAAGTGCATCTTCCAGGTCATTCCCAAATATTTAATCATCTATGTATTCACTTTTTTTTTTTTTTTTTTGGTACTGGGGATTGAACTTACAACCCTAGTGCTTGCCAGGCAGGCACTTATGCCACTGAGCTAAATCTCCAGCTATGTATGTAAATACATCTCCTATGTATTTACATTTTGATTGGAGGTTTTAGGCCTAAAAAGCTACTTTTGAAATGTTTAGGATTCTGTGTTACTGGAGAGTTTTGAACCAATAATAATTTTAACAAATATTGTTTCAAGTGAGTCTTTCTACAATGATTAGTTTTCAACAAAGAATTTTTTTCTGTATTCCTTCATATGTTAACCTCTATCATGACAGTCTTAAAGATTATATTATAGCTACTTTTAGTTCTCTAGATCTGAATGGAAATTTTGGTCAATAGCAAAGGCATTGTAGTTCATAAATTCTGAAAGTTATTCAACCTCTTTAAAAGGCTTGTTTCTCTTACCAGGAACCTGGAGATGACTGGAGAAGCTACTTCATACTGTTTCAGTAGGATTAAATGAATTAATATATGCCAAGCTACTACAATAATGGTACTGAATAAATTTTTTCTATTATTTTGTTGTGATACAAATCTTCATTGTTAACTGTCTTCTGACTATGTAAGATCAAAATAGTATACAGATTGACTTTATATGAGTATTTCATATAAGTCACTTAAAATCATAACGTTACTTTTCTTCTCTTATGAAATGTTCTTAAATCATAGCACTAGGGTAATGGAATAAGACGTTATGGTGGAGTAAACTCTCCAGTGCTGTTTTAGGGTCTCTCTTTTTTTGTTGTTTGGGTTTTTTTCCTGCTATTGCGAATCAAGCTCAGGGCCTTGCACTTGCCAGGAAGTAGCTTATTCTGTTGAGCTCCGTCCTCGCCTCTGAGTCTTCTTTTAAAAAATTATTTGCACACTCTTTATATTGCTATAAAAATAATGTGTCACAATTTTCTGCCTAAGTTTTTTAAATGACCACTTTACTAACTGAATATAATTTTACTTGTAAAATGACTTTGAGATGAAATTTGACTCTTTAGCTGGACAAAGAGGTAGCAGGAAACTGCTTTTGCATTCTTACCTCTCCCACAGCATCCCAGCTTAGGAAAGCTAAAATTGGAGAGTTAGATTTTGGAACTCACACAAAGATATTTGAGGGTATCTGCCATTTCATTGAGTGTTAATTCTCTCTCCCTGTGGGAAAAGAAGTGACTCCCCCCCCCCCCAAGGCAGAGGAAAAGAGTGGTGAGTGCAGTACTTAGGGAGATGGACGCGTACTTTTCTCTGCTTCGTGTTTGGAGAAAACAATAGCCTGGTGGATCTCTTCTTTTACATCAAACAACTTACAGGTGACTGAGGGGACAGCCTGCTGCTTTAATGCTGGTGAGGGGACCTGCTTGCTTTGCATCACCTGTACTTCCAGAGTTTCACTGAGTCAAAAAAATATGTGTGTACAGCAAACCAGAATTTGGTTACAGGTAGGAATCCCTTGTTATATTCCATCCTCTCCAAGAGGGCTGCCTAATGTCAAACGAGAGCCTGACGGAAGAAGCTGAGCCAAGAAATACAGCCAGGTGAGAGCTCTGACAGTGGGGTTGAGGATATCGCTGATAGTCCTACAAAGACTCTAAAAAGCTCTTGTCTGTTGGGCCCAGGCACCCCAATGCCAAAATGAGCCAAATAAAACAATTTCCTTCCCTCTCCTTTGCTTCTTTCTTATTCCTACTTTTGCTTCAACTCTGAGTCAGATGTTATAGTTAGCAAACTGGTATTGGAAGTATGAACTATCATAAACAGGGAGAATAGAAATCACTTGTTGCCCTGACATAGTGAGAAAAAAAAATAATGTTATTAAGTCTTTAGACTAAACATTCGTATTTAAGTGAAGAAAGTTTTTATCATTACTTGAAAGCTAGCAAAACAGTCATGAATTTCATCTGGGTAAAAAAAAATCAGTTCCCACTGTCAAATTAAATGGTCAATTTATATTATTTTAGTTAATAATTTTTTCACTTTACACACTTAGGTTTGTGATAGCAGAGTAATATAAATGCTGCTTTGGGCAGGTTTATACATATTTCCATCATATTTTGTATTGTCAGAGAAGGGGACCATCTTTATATATAAAGATTGACCTCTGGATTTTAAAGAAGTGCTTTATACTATTATTGTCTTTCCATAAATGTTTCAGATACCAGGAAACTAAAAATAAAAACAGAATAAAATAAAAAGCCAAGAATTTGGAAAACAATTTGATCTTATTATATTTACAGAAATGTTAATTACAAAAGGAATGGAAACTTTTTTCAACTAACAGTACATTCATGCGTTAAAAATTATATAAAGTACCTTGGTTTTATAGATTATGAACTCTATAGAATTTTTTGCATATATAAATTCCTTTAGTGCAGTGGAAAAGTGTATAAACATTTTAATAATTTATGTTGAAATATTAATTTTAGAGCTTAAAGCACTTAAAGTTTATTGATGGTTCTAAAGCATGTTGACTTTTATTAAGAAATGACATAAATACATCAGTTTCATCCTTGATTTAAATGAAGTTAGTCATGAAAATGAAACTTTCTGAAATCTTAAAATAGTCTAATAATGCTCATTAGGACTAAACTATGAATAACTTCAAACATCATATTATGTATAACAAAATATTTCATGATTCATGGAACTAGAATTTAGTGTCTTCTGCAGCAATCTGACAAAGAAACAACTAATGAAAAGACAAAACTATATTTTTTTATTGTTAACAATAGGTACTATTCGTATTCCTGATAGTACCTAGATTTGGTTAAGCTGGAAAAGTATGTGGGTGAAAGAAGATACCGAGGAATTACAATATTTTGTCTTACTGTTGGTAGAGTGACTTTAATCGGAACACTAATTTGATTTTTAATGCAGCATAAGTTTTCTTATGAAGTTATCATATGACAATAATAATTCACAAGTAATTTTTAACAAACAAAGTCTGTATATAGACAACTTAAAAGTTGCTTTCTTTTCTTTTTTCCTTTTCATAAGTGCTAAACATGGACAGAGGATAGAGTTACATATCCTAAGCTGGTGGGCAGGTATTCTAAACAAACAAGCAAACAAACAAATCAGAAAAAGATAGAATGACAGAATATTCAGCTTTGGGCACTCACACAGATAAGTCCTCCTATACCTCACAAATTTCTTTAGAAACCAAAGCTAGTTTCTGAGTAGTTTGCTCTTGTCAATTCCACTAAGGACTGAAAATTCCAGCTACCATTGCATATTCTAAAATATACTTTCAACACTGTGACTATGGATATGGCTTATATTTTCAATTGACAAGCTAAGTTTAATTGGATAGCCCAGAGGAGAAGTAAGAATGACCTTCAGGGTCGCCTATGAAACAGAAATGATATACTTCTCTTTTGGAAAAGGACAGCCAAATCATTCAAGTTTTACACCTGAGGCCACTAGTATCCCACCACCATGAATTTGGTGGTGATTCTCACCAGATACCATAAGACATTCGTACCTGGACCAAGCTATATCCCGTGCGCTGGACCAGTGCGCGGAGGGCTGCTTCCTTCTGGGTGCCGCTCAATCCATCCCCGGATTTGTGATTTGATTCCATTGAGAATGATTATCAGCAAAAAATCAGGGTAATTAGGGTTGCTCACTGAAACCAAGTTTAAGATAAATTAAATAAATTATTGTTGCCTAGTCCAAACTATCCTTTTCACAAAGGACATTCATAGGAAACATTCTCTATAAATGCGTCATTAAATTTAGGGCAACAAATAGCCACACACAAACAAGACTAGTTGAATGTAGTCAGTAAAATTGTTGTTTATTTAAATGTTCAGCTTTGATGAAATTTAAAAGTCAAAACTAAATAGTAACCCATTCTCCAATTAAAATGCAGATTCTCAATCCAGTTACTTCAAGATGTCACCAAGTGCTCAAAAACAAATTAATTCACATCAGTTAAAATGATATGAAGTTCTTACAAATGTGGGGAAAAGACATTGTCACCAAATGAAACTACGTGACGGCACCAAAATTCTGAGACTGAGCTTCATTTATCTAGTCTGTGTGTTGCCTAAGAGAGTTACTTACTCTCCAAACACAAGTTTCTAGAACAGAGTGTGCTGATGACAGCTATTCAGAAGTCATCATGCAAACATGATGCAATAACATGACGTGGATTTTTACAAAACATGATCCTTCGAAGCATGCACCACATTTCACCCAGTTGAGTCCCTGAAACACTTTGTGAAATCTACGAAAGTGTGGAAATTCATATAGGTCCATGTCAAGTATGTAGTAATGAATAGCATTTTGTTGTCTATACTTTCTGTTTAAAAACAGAAACATGCAACATGATTTGAACCCCTTTTCAGATGTGATGATGGCTCAGATGCACAAGTTCACAGAACAGGAATGCAGCTGTTCTGAAGGTAACAAGTGGTGGCGGCTTGTGGCCCTGAAGCTCCCTTATCCACAGGGGCAAGCGCATGTGGTCCTGCTGGGTGAGATGTGACTGGTGAGGTTCTAGCCAAGTTTTCATTCTACCTAGTATGCTCTGCTGCCTGAGAAGAGAAAATGTGTTTTGCAATGATTCAAGTCAAATATAATTCTAGTGTACTTGAGTATAAATTATTATGAAAAATTTCTGATTAATGCATCAGATTTTCTATACTGATTTCTGTTGTTATTTTAAGAAATAGTGAATTAGCCATTAGCAATACTGGAAACTGGTTTAAAGAGTAAGTGACAATCCTTCCTGGTAAATGGCGCACTCCAGGGACAGAACAAGTCAGCGTCTCCCAAGAATCAGCCATGCTGGAACTTGGGGGACCAACCAAGAAAGCAAGGAGCTAGCCTTTCTGGTAAGTGGGGAGAGCTGCAGGCACGCCAGGGAGAGACAGCCCCTGTCTGCTCCCTCCACCTCTTAGTAACCCTGTGGTTTCAAGATCAGCCGGAGTTGATAGCAAATAAGGTACGTAAAGCAACTAAACGCTTGTATTGTTTCGTTGATTATGCTGACTTGGGACCAGAGGTCTGAGCATCTCTTGGGAGGATGACAGCATGCAATATTGCAAATATGGGGGACTCCCTTCTGTCTTGTCTTTGAAGGCCAATACTGTTTTCACTGTTTTACTTTGTTCTAATTGTTTTGCCCTATTCAATATTCTATTTTGATTGGTTTTATTGTTTCTGTTTTTGGTTTGATTTTGCTATTCCTAATGTAATGGGCAACTATTGTGAAGGTAACAAGATATACTATGGTACCTATTATTGTTATCCCAGTATCTTGCTCTGAAGTTCTTTTCCAATTTCACTGCATTGTTTTTATGGGCTTTGTTCTGTATTGTGTTGTTATATTTTACTATCTTTAAAATAAAAAAAATTTTAAAAATCAAATGACAGAAAAAAAGTGAAGCTGAAGTGATGGTTTCAGGAAAATTCACTTTCAAGGTATTGCATTACTAAAATTCTAAAATTACCATTATTTAGGGCTAGGGATTTAGCTCAGTGGCATAAGTGCCTGCCCAGCAAATGTGAGGTCATGGGTTTGATCCCTGGTACTAAAATAAAATAAAATAAAATAAAATAAGTAATATAATAGCAATAACATGTTAATTCTAATAATATTAATATCATTAATAGTAGGAATCATACTGTTATTAGTAGCAATAGCAATAAGTATTCTATTACAAAGTGATAGGAGAAAAGACCTCCAACCTAATTAACAACTATTATTTAGAATGTAATACTTCAATGTAATTTAGAAAACCAAAGGAAAAAATAGTTTGTAGAAGGAGAATATTCATTAGATTTATAGGGATAAGTTAGGCTGGGCAGATAACCATGACCATTTTTGTCTACAACATTTCTGATGATTCTTGCTTACTTTCGACCCAAATTTATTCAGTTTTCATTCTTTATATTTTTTTTTTTATTGAGACAAGCTCTTGCTCTGTAATTTAGGCTGGCCTTGAACTCACAGCAGTCCCTCCTGCCTTAACTTCCCAAGTGCTGGAATTACAGGCATGAACTGCCATGACCAGCTTCATTCATTAAGAAGAATTTACTTACTATTCTCTGTATGCCAGCCCCAACTACCCCCAGCTGTAGGGCATTATGTTTTATGGGCAGTCTATTAACTCAGAAAATTAACATATTAGTTTTAGTGTCTATACTTTGCAAAAGCAGTTTTTAAAGAAATACTGATTTTGTATTTTGTCAGGAACAATTGTAATTTCTTTCTGACAGAGGTGATCTGATATACATATAGAAATTTAGGCTGGGACAAGTAGCTCAACTGACACATTTTGAGTGTAAATATTGTTTCTATGGATACCATACACAGAGTCCTTTGAAATCTGTTCTCCGTTTATGATCTCAAACTGCTAGCAAATATAGTTGAAGAAGTATCTATGAGACAATATAAGTCTTAAAACAGATAAATAAAACTGCAAAAGTCATTTTTGAGGATTTACAAAAAAAAAAAGCACTAGCTTTAAGACAAAATCTAATTCTTGCACTTTTTTTGTTATTGTTGCTACTAGGAATTGAATTCACAGCCTCTGCTTTGCCAGGCAGGCACTGTGCCACTGAGCTATATCCCTGGCTAACTCTTGTACTTTTCTCAAGTTACTAAAATTGTTTTTTCATCAGGACTTTCTCAAACTTTCCCACTGAGTTGATTTGAACCTGCAAGAGCAGGCATGCCATGGAAGGCCTAATGAGGTTACTAACGTATGTCTTAACAGCTATTTATTTAAAGGAAAAATCTATAGTCTTTTGGCCAAGTGTGGTAGATTTGCTGAACTTCTTCTTTTCTATCCAAAAGATAAAAGTTCATGGTGACCTGATGAGTTTCTATTTGCAAAACCTATCTTTAGTTTTGGTTAATAATTAAGTAAAAGTGATTAAGGATATTTTGACATTAGAAAGGTCTTTTGACCCCACAGGAATTCAATCTAAAGTTATCGATAAGATTCTATAGCTTCTGAATTTAGTCTCAAGTCTTTGGAAATCAAGACAGGAAATTCAGAATTTGCTGCAACAGAGACTTAAGGGGGCTGGTGTGTAGCTCAGTAGTAGAGCACTTGCCTAGCAAAAAAAGGTACCTGGGGGCTGGGGATTTAGCTCAGCGGCATAAGCGCCTGCCTTGCAAGCAGGCAGTCGTGAGTTCGATCCCTGGTACCGATAAAAACAAACAAACAAAAAAAAAGACAAAAAAAAAAAAAAAAGGTACCTGTGCTCAATACCCAGCACTGCAAAGGCAACCACAAAAACCCAAACCATAACATACACACTTGATCTTAAACAACCCCCTCTCCCAATGTTGACCTAATCTAAGAGGTTAACTTGAATCCCAGATAAGTATTTTTAAGTAAACTGAACTTCTACTGAAAAGCTTGATCAATTTGAAATAATGTTTTGTAATATGTTTTCTAACTTAGCATGTTATAAATTCTTCAGATATGAGGCAATAGCATTTTTAAAGAGTAGTTCCCATTGCAATTTACTGAGACATGGTATTCAAAACTATACACAGCTAGCATGGGCACCTTGGAATTAGATGAATGCATGCACTAATATTTACCACTTAATAATTGAAAAGTATGGATCAACTATCTTTTTAAGAATTTTCAATACACTGAGGATGTAACAGAACACAACTGATGCTGTCCCCTAAAATCATTTCATAGAGTTTTATAGTGAGTGAAAGAGTCAATAAATAAGATCAGTAAATATAAAGCATTCATGATGATTTCTGAAGAGATAAAAACACACTGTGGTAGAGGAATGTGAGGAATGTGCTCATGGGTTGGTGGGCATTTATAAAGTGTGGTCTTGATCATGTGGGAAGAGATCTGGGTAAAGTAAGGATTTGGGTAGCGCTTTCTGGGAAGCAGCTCCAAAATGTAAAGACTGAGCTGGGAGCATCTTGAATAGTGAAGAGGCCAGTGTGCTACAGGAGGGCCTAAGCGAGTTTGGAGAGATGTAGTCAGGGTCAGAGTGATATGGATAGCCAGAGTATGAAGGACTTTGTTATCCACATGTCTTTTGTGCTGGGACGCAAATCCAGAAGATTAGAAATATTTTACTCATGTCAACAGGATCCTTCTGATTGTTGGGGATATATCAAAGAGAAGAGGTAGAGCTTGAATTAGGATGAGGAAAACAAGGAATGTAAACGCAAGGTCTAGTCCTGTTTTTATTTCAAATTTTTCTGTTTTGTGCATAATGAGTTTTTGCATTGGTTTTGGTTTTAGAAGATGTATTGAAGCTGAGTTTTGGGATACCATTTTATAAGTTTTATATTGGAGACAATCACCTTACTTATAGTACTTAACTCTCTCTAGTTGTCAGAGAGGATAGAAGAGAAGTGGGAGATCCAATACAAGACATTATAGCATCCAGCTAGAAGATGACAGTGGCTTGCATTAGAGAGGTGATGGAAGCGGTGGTGATAAAAAGTGGTCAAATTTCGGAAATATTTTATGTTACTGAGTGCTTGCATTTTGAGAGAAGAAAACTGTAAGTCAAGGACAACACCAAATTTTTTGGAATGCAGACCTAAGAATCTGACTGGGTTTAAACCTTTACCCTGTGTCATGCTGTATTTTCCAGGCAAGTTATTTAACTGCTCTGTGTCTCAGTATACTCAGCTGAAGCAGTAATGATATCTCTATCAGATAGAGTCATTGTGAATATACATGAACGTTGCACTTAGCGGGCTTTGGAAGAACTCCTGATATATATGAAATGCTAAACTAGTATTAGGTATAGATAGATAATTTCTAAAGAGAGAAAAGAAGTGGCAGTATAATTACCAGTTATACTGAGAGCACCTTGACTCTGAATTGAGAGGTTCCAGAATAAGAAAACCTGTAGGTTTGTGGAACAGCACTGTTGTCTGGATGAGGATGGATGGGAGAAAAAAGAGGCCAAGAGCAGAAAGTGGGATAGAGTTACAGCCAATATCATAAGAAAGACTCATATACTCACATACTCTCCCAAAGCAACACATCTTCCTTCGTGCACTGGGCAACAAGCGGTTGTAGCCAGTGCTGTGAAGTTGAATGAGAAAGCAGCCGGGAAGTGTTTAAACCTCGCATGTAGCAAGCCCTACATCATGACATAGTGCTCCTGCTAATAACGTCCATTGGAGGCACAAGCAGAAAAGTGCATGGACCAGCAGTGTGAAAAGTCAGTCTCCTTTAGTGTGGCCATCTTTCAGTAATCAATGTCTCCCCCACTCTCTCTGATGGAATATTTCCCCTGGGCCAGGGATATAGCTCAGTGGAACAGTACGTGTCTGGCAAGCACAAGGTTGTGAGTTTGATTCCTGGTACAAAAAAAAAATTCCCTTGGCAATGCAACTAACTCTTAGTTCAAGTGTATTCTCAAAACCTGAATTTAAGAATGGTCTCCTATTTTATTTTTCTGTTCCTGCCCCTGTAGATCTGTGAGCCTCAATTTTCTTACATATAAAATCAGGATAATAATAATTCCTCCTTCATAGTCTTCTGAGGATCAAATACTAATGTTCGTTTAAAATACTAAACACTTAATAGTATTAGTAATGATATAACTTTATCATATTTATTAACCTCTAATTCTAAGGTCTAGAATTTCACAACTCCTTGTGGAAAGGATGAGGTTTTTAAGTCCTCAGCATGGCACAGTCCCTTCTGGGCTATATCTTTGACTTCCCTTCAGGGGTTATTCATATGCTCAGTCACTTGGCATTGCCATGCTTTCTTATCCCTTCAGCTCTTCTGCTTGGGATATTTTCCATTCTCATGTTTCCTAACTTTATTGTGTTAGCCATCCTGAACACACTAGCTTTGACTGAAATGTCTGCTCTGCCAAATTTTCTTTAACCACCTACGTGGATAACATTAGTGCCACCTGCATCCTCCCAAGAAAGGCTGTTATTGCTCCGTGCTGTTGCACCAGTGCAGTAACTATTTGCTTTCTTTTGTCTGTCTTTCTCATTGAATTGTGAGCTTGCTAAGTGTAGGGACTATCTTGCACTCATTGATGTTTGGCCCAAAACGTTTTAGCCTAATGGTATGCTAACTACCCAATAGATACTTGTAAAATATATGAAAGACTTTGAAATGGCAATTTTGTAAATTATAATGGCACACAATTAATCAGAAGTAAATTTAACCTGAACCTAATTTTCCAATACTTAATACATATTATTTCTCTTTTTTTGCCAACCTATTTCTGAAAATTCCATCTTGGAATACAATTGAATGACATGATAAACTGATTTTCATGGTTTTTCTGAATTTATACATGTTTAGGAAAGACAAGAAAATAAAAATTTTCAAGTGCAAAGTGATTAAAAATAGAGTCAGAATTTGGACACACTCTTTCCTTTTTTGTACATCTTTGGTTTTATATTTGCAGTGTTAGTATCCATTTGATCAAGAAAGAAGAAGCCAGATTTGAGGTTCAAAATTTCTGTTTTTTGGAACATTGGAGGGAACAGTTGATCTTGTCTGACCTGATCAAAAAAATTGCCAGAGTTCACTGTTGGGCAAGGTCAGATTTGTAATTCTGGATTCCACCAGTGGGAAGTGTTTCAAAGAAAATAGCAGAAAAACAAATGGGAAAGAAGATGGAAGAGGAGCTGGCACGGGGAAGAGTATTTAGAATTTTCCAAATTCATGTCTATCGGGTGTATAGTATATGCTGCTCTGTAATTGTGATCTGAAGTACAAAGAGACATACTTTTATTTTGTGCATAAAAGTCCCACAAGGACAGCCAATTGGTGAAAGACAATCAAGAGAGAATTTTAAGTAATATTTTTTATCTAAATTTGTTAGAAATATAGAAAAGTTTATTGCCTAAGTATAATATACATTCACAACTAGGGAAACAACAAAAGGGAAGGGACAAATTTTGTTTGTTTTTTTTTTAAATCTCAGGTACATTGGACAAGACATGAGCAAAAGTAAGAAAAGCACATGATAGGAAAAAATGTTTAGAAAGTCAAGAAAGGGCCAGGGGCATAGCTCAGCGGCATAAGCGCCTGCCTAGCAAGTGTGAGGTCATGAGTTTAATCCCTGGTACCAAAATAAATAAATAAACATAAAATAAATTAAAAAGTTAAGAAAGACTAGCTTGAAAGGGCAAAAACAGAAATTGCAAGAGAACAAAAAGGAGATAAAGACAGAATTAAAGTTAAATTTCTTGGTTAAAAAATAAACAATGGAGTTATCTTCAAATGTAACAAAAAGGTCATTAAATGTAAATTTAATATCTGCTGTCTACTTCGGTAGATGATTTAAATTAGGAAATGGAGGAGTTCTGTTGTTACTATAGTTTGTTATTATTGTACTTTCTGGCTTGATTTTTTTGGGAAGAGGTTGAACAGGGTAACTGAGTGGGGAGAAAGATATTTTTTGACTTGGTAAACAGAGGAGGGGTGCTCTTTGTAACTGAGTGGGAACTTCTTGGGCCTGTAGTAGCCATGTGCCCCATGAAAGTTTAAAGATTTTAGTAGTTCTACTTGGTACTGGGATCTCTCTAAACCAAATCTAGTCTTTCCCTAATGTTTTGTTGTGTCTTGACATTGCTTGATATAGAGGGGAAACAACGTTTATGTAACAGGCAAGTTCTACAAATGGTTTTAGAAGAAATTTCAGGCTTCTGGTATTGCCTGGACATTTTACAGGGAGGTGCAGATTGTACTGAAGTGGTTTGTGACTAGAGGTCCTGCATTTTCCTGATGATGCTAAATAAATATTCCTTTGCGTTGCTTGATAAAAGAAATATAAACTAAGCCAGGCTTGGTAGCACACACCTGTAATCCCAGTACTTAGGAGGCTGACATAGGAGGACTGTTATGAGATTGAAACCAGCCTTGGCTACAAAGTGAGCTCAAGGACAGCCTGAACTGCATAATGAAACGCTGTCTCAAAAAGAAAAAGAAAAAAAAAAAAAAAAAAACCAAAAAACTAGCTCTAATATTCTGCTTGGAAAATGTTTACATTTGGTCTTAGGTTTATTTTGGAAGTGAATTAGTGCAAGAAATCTTCATTTGGATGCACATGATGAAGCATAACAAAAATAATACAGAATATACCCATATAAAATTCTAAAATGTAGCTAAAATGGCATCACACAAAGTCTCAGTGTGTAGCATTTTATATTTTAAAAACAAAATCTATCAGAAAAACACTCAGAATCTCCTCTATATTATTAATGCTTAGTATTGAATTATGCATTAATTTGAGCAAATTAATTTTATCAATTTGGGCAAAGACTGGACTTAAAAATAGAAAAAGGAAAGAAATACATTTTTTCATAGTGAATATATTACTTTTAATTTGTAATTATTGATAAAATCCTCCTCTGTAAGAGTTCTACATTTCCAAAGAAGTACAAGCTTCCATTTCAACTTAAGTTCTGCCAGTATGATTTTATATTTTAGAAGACCTAATTTCCTATTTTTAAAAAAGAATAGGAATCCAAATACATGATTTGGTTTTTAAATAAGATTGAATGAATACAATATTGGACATGAGATGACCTAAGACAGTGGTGGGCATTACCAAAGGAGGCCCTTAATAAATGTCCCTTTCTTGGTGCTTCATGTGCAACTCTGGTTGACTTTTCTCTGCCATCAGTTATGTTTTCTCAGTGATGCTTTTCCCTTCTAGTAATTGTTTGCACTGGAAGAAATGCAGTTTTGGATGCACTATCTTGAAATCCTTCCTATTGCCTTAATAATTAATCTAGTTTTTTCATCAATATTTGTTTTCACTTCATCCTGGGAAAAGTTCTTAAGAGCTTGTAAACTGTTTTTCATCTCTCATAGAATATATAGTGTTGTAATGAAAATGAGAAACAACCTTAATACTGAGTGATAAAGAAATATTTATATGGTATTACAGTGTAGCTGATCAAATTGTTGTTCTAGAAGAATATGCAAAGTCTGAGATATAGATTTTTAGAATACCATAAAATATAAAGGAAGGTTGCAAAACACAATGCATAAGCCCAGGAGAACCAGCCGCCGGTGCCCGGCACGGCTTCTTGCTGCACGACCCCCGCGCGGGTCCCGACACGCGGGGCGCGCTCCTCCAGGTGCTCGGAGCCTGCCCGGAGCCCGCGCGCCCGAACCTCGGCGAGTTCGAGGCGGACGCGAGCGGCGAGCTGTGGCTACGGCTCTGGGAGCTGAACGGGGACGCGCAGCGGCAGGTGAGCTGCGCACGCGTGGTGCCGGTCCCAGCGCCTCCAGTGCACCCCGTGGTACTGGACCTGCCGAGTTCCGCGGTCTTCCCTGACCGGGATGCAGCCCGGGCTGTCCTGGAGGAGTGCACACCTTTTATTCCGGAAGCCCAGGCGGTGCTCAACCTGGTTGATCAGTGTCCAAAGCAGCTGCGGAAAGGACAGTTCCCGGTCATCGTTATCGAGGGACTGGATGCCACTGGTAAGACCACAGTGACGCGGTCCATTTCAGAGGCGCTTGGGGCGGTGCTCTTGCAGTCACCCCCCTCTTGCATTGGCCACTGGAGGAAAATCTTCGATGATGAACCAAATATCATTAGAAGAGCTTTTTACTCTCTGGGCAATTACATTGTGGCTTCTGAAATAGCTGAAGCATCCACCAGATCTCCTGTGATTGTAGACAGGTACTGGCACAGTACGGCCACCTATGCCATTGCCACCGAGGTGAGTGGGGGTCTGCAGCATCTACCCCCAGCCCACGACCCCGTGTACCAGTGGCCTCAGGACCTTCTCAGGCCCGACCTAGTGGTGCTGCTCACCGTGAGTCCTGAGGAGAGGGTGAAGCGGCTGCAAGGCCGGGGCCTGGAGAAGACCAGGGAGGAGGCCGAGCTAGAGGCCAACAGCATCTTTCGTCAGAAGTAGGTGTCCCTGGAGTTCCCTCAGGCTTCCAGGTGCAGTGAAGGCCAGAGGTGGGTTTGAGGCTTCCACATTAGCCTCCCCATTCCAGGCTTCATTTGGAGACCTGCTGAGCTCCCGATAGGTGGGCTGGCCCACACAACCAGCCTAGCCCAGCCTGTTTAGCTGCCGCGCCTGGCCACAGGTCTGCAGAGGAGGAGCTGGGCAGATCTGGGGTGCCCTCACTGGCCTCTCTGCGTGTCTGGAGGACTGTGGATATCTCTGCAACCAGGGAGGGTCCACAGGTTCCTGAAGCACTGCGGCCTGTGGTGAGTACCCTAACCCAGCTGCGATTGAAGAACTGTGGAGCTTCCAAGGGGCAGGTGGGCGCACAGTGTCCCTGAGGCCCAGCTTGTCTGGAACTGCGGAGTTCTGAGCAGGCAGAGGAGGGCCACTGGTTCTGTAGGCCTAATGGCTTGGAGTAGCGCGGCGCCAGAGTCCCAATAGCTCCAAACATAGAAGGGGATTTTCAACAGATCCTGAGGAAGCTTTCAAGTAACACTTGAAACACAGAAATATAGGAAAATGACAAAACGAAAGACCAAATTACAACCTCAAACCTCCAGCCCATCTCAAGAAACCCTAGGAGCGATGTATATAGAAGAAAATATATCCCATCCACCTCATATATCGGACACAATAGCCACTGAAATTGACAAGCAACTCCAGGAAGCTTTAAAGAAATTCAAACTCGAAATAATCTCCCAGATAAAAGAAGAAATGATAAAAGAAATGAAAGAGATTCTAAATATATCTAAAGAAAACACAGATAAAAAATTGGAGGAACTAAACAAAAAGATAGAATCCCTAGATGAGCAATATAAGAAACAAACAGAATACATAATGCAGATGCACAGAGATATACAGGAAATAAAAAACTCCACTGAAAGTTGTAAAAACCGCCTTAATGAAAGTGAAGATAGAATTTCAGACCTTGAAGACAGGATTGCAGCTAGTGAACAGGAAAGGAAAGATCTTTTGAAAATAACAAGGAACCAGGAAACAACAATTCAACAACTGCAAGACGATGCAAAGAAGAATAACATAAGAATGATAGGGATTAATGAAAGAGAGGGAGACAACATGAAGGATGTCAGGAGGATATTTAGAGAAGTAATAGCTGAAAATTTCCCAAGCATGAGATCAGAAACTGACATCAGGATCAGTGAAGCATATAGAACTCCAAACAGTCATAACCAAAATAAAACTACACCCAGACATATAATAGTCACCATCCCAGAAATCCAACACAAGAATAGATTATTAAAAGCTGTCAGAGAGAAAAGACAAATCACTTATAAAGGAAAACCTATCAGAATCACAGCAGACTTCTCAGCACAAACGATAAAGTCAAGAAGAGCATGGAGTGAAGTATTCCAGATCCTAAAGCAAAATGATTTCCAACCAAGACTGATATATCCTGCAAAACTATCATTCAAAATAGATGGTGCAATACGATACTTCCATGACAAAGAACAGCTGAAGAACTTCATGAACACCAAACCAACCCTGCAAAAAATATTGAAAGACAGTTTAGATACACAAAGGAAAAAACCACTAAGCAAAGCAAATAATTAAACAGAACCGAAAGATAAAGATGCAACAGCAGAGAGATAACATTCCTACAATTAACCAGCATTTAACAGTAATAACCATTAATGTAAATGGTCTCAATGCACCAATCAAAAGAAACAGACTAGCAGAATGGATCAAGAAACAAAATCCAACCATATGCTGTTTACAGGAAACCCATCTAACCCAGAAAGATACTCACAGACTGAAAGTCAAAGGATGGAAAACAATTCTTCATGCAGCAGGAATCCAAAAAAAGGCAGGAGTAGCCATTCTGTTTGCAGACAATGTGAACTTTAAACCAACAATGACCATAAAGGACAAAGAAGGTCACTACATACTCGTAAGGGGAAAACTCCAAGAGGAAGAGATAACTATCTTAAACATATACGCACCAAACTCCAGAGCACCCAGTTATATAAAACAATTATTAACAGAAATGAAAACTCAAATTATCAGTAACACAATTGTAACAGGAGACCTTAATACACCACTGACACCAAGGGACAGATCAACCAGACAGAAAATGAGCAAAGAAATAACAGAACTGAATCACACCTGTGAACAAATGGGTTTGATAGACATATACAGAATGTTCCACCCAACAACATCAGAATACACATTCTTCTCAGCAGTACATGGATCATTTTCTAAAATAGACCATATATTAGCTCACAGAACATATTTAAGCAAATGCAAAAGAGTTGAAATCATCCCTTGCATATTATCGGATCATAGCGCTCTGAAATTAGAAATTAATGACAAAGGATACTGCAAAAATTCCGCAAACACATGGAAACTAAATAACACACTCTTGAGTAATCAGTGGGTCACAGAAGAAATTAAAGAAGAAATTAAACAATACCTAAAAGAAAATGAAAATGCAGATACAACTTACCGGAATCTGTGGGATGCAATGAAAGCCGTTCTGAGAGGAAAATTTATTGCACTGAGTTCCCACATCAGGAAAACAGAACGAATACAAGTAAATAACTTGATGCTACACCTCAAACAGCTAGAAAAAGAAGAGCAAGTCAAGCCCAAAGCCAAAAGAAGAGAGGAAATTATAAGAATCAGAGCAGAAATCAATGCAATAGAGACTAAGAAAACAATCCAAAGAATCAACGAATCAAAGAGTTGGTTCTTTGAAAGAATAAATAAAATCGATAAGCCCCTAGCCAACCTTATTAAAAAAAGGAAAGAAAAAGCTCAAATTCATGCAATAAGAAATGAAAAAGGAGAAATCACTACAGACCCAATAGAAATACAGAGGATCATCAACACCTATTTCGAAAACCTCTACTCTCAAAAGTTTGATAACACAGAAGAAATAGACAGATTCTTAGAAGCATATGAAGTACCAAAGCTAGATCAAGAGGATATAAAACTGTTGAATAACCCAATCTCTGCTAATGAAATTGAGAATGTAATTGGGTCCTTGCCCACCAAGAAGAGCCCAGGCCCAGATGGATTCACTGCAGAATTCTACAAGAAATATAAAGAAGACCTAATGCCGACACTCCTCAAACTATTCAATGAAATTGAAAGGGAAGCAATCCTTCCTAAGTCATTCCTGGAAGCAAATATTACTCTAGTACCAAAACCTGAGAAAGACCCAACTATAAAAGAGAACTATAGACTGATCTCCCTAATGAACACAGATGCAAAAATCCTCAATAAAATATTGGCAAATAGGATCCAGCAAATCATCAAGAAGATTATACACCATGACCAGGTGGGATTCATCCCAGGAATGCAAGGATGGTTCAACATACGCAAATCAATAAATGTAATCCACCATATCAATAAAGCCAAAAATAAGAATCACATGATCATCTCTATAGATGCAGAAAAAGCCTTCGATAAGGTCCAACACTTATTCATGATAAGAACTTTACAGAAAATTGGAATAAATGGTCTTTACCTCAATATAATAAAGGCCATTTATGACAAACCAACAGCCAGCATCATACTAAATGGCCAAAAATTGAAAGCCTTTACTTTAAAATCGGGTACAAGACAAGGATGTCCTTTATCACCACTCCTATTTAATATAGTACTGGAAGTACTAGCCAGAGCAATTAGGCAAGAAAGAGAAATAAAAGGGGTAAAGATAGGAAAAGAAGAAGTTAAATTATCATTGTTTGCAGATGACATGATACTCTACATAGAAGACCCCCTAAACTCCATTGAAATACTCTTAGATACAATAAATAAATTCAGTAATGTGGCTGGATACAAAATCAATACTCAGAAATCAATAGCATCCCTATACACGAACAACAAAATTACAGAGAGGGAAATAAGAGAAACTGGACTATTCACATTAGCAAGCAAAAAAATGAAATATTTAGGAATTACTCTTACGAAAGAAGTGAAAGACTTATACAGTGAAAATTATAATACACTGAAAAAGGAAATTGAAGATGATCTCAGAAAATGGAAAGACATCCCTTGCTCATGGATAGGAAGAACAAACATTGTGAAAATGGCCATTCTCCCAAAACTGTTATACAGATTCAATGCAATCCCAATAGAAATACCATCAACATACCTTATAGATCTAGAGAAATCACTCCTAAATTTCATCTGGAACCAGAAGAGACCTAGAATCGCAAAGGCAATTCTAAGCAGCAAAGACAAAGCAGGAGGCATCACAATCCCTGACTTGAAGTTATACTACAAAGCAACAGTAGTAAAATCAACATGGTATTGGAATCAAAACAGAGCTGAAGATCAGTGGAATAGATTAGAAGATACAACCACAACTACGAACACACTCAACCACCTTATTTTTGATAAAGGAGCCAAGCAGGTTCACTGGAAGAACGACAGTCTCTTTAATAAATGGTGCTGGAAAAACTGGCTCTCCATTTGCCGAAAACTAAAGCTAGACCCATGTCTATCACCATGTACTAAATTAAAATGTAAATGGGTCAAAGATCTGAATAATAAAACAGAAACACTAAATCTATTGGAAGACAAAATAGGTAGAAACCTTGGAGACATAGGAGTAGGTAAAGAATTCATGAACAGGACTCAAACCGCACGGGAAATACTTCCCAGAATCAATAACTGGGACCACTTCTTATTAAAAAGTTTCTGCATGTCAAAAGAAATCTCCAGCATAGTGAAAAGAAAACCCACAAACTGGGAAAAGATTTTAGTGAACTCTCTCTCAGACAAGGGCCTCTTGTCTAAAACATATAAAGAATTAAAGAAACTCAGACCTCCGAAATTCAAAGATCCAATCCAAAAATGGGCATCTGAGATGAATATGCAATTCTCAGATGAAGAAATGCAAATGGCAAATAAATACATGAAAAAATGCTCATCATCATTGGTCATTAGAGAAATGCAAATTAAAACCACACTGAGATACCATCTCACTCCTGAAAGAATGGCCAGGATCAAGAAAACCGACAACAAATGCTGGAGAGGCTGTGGGGAAAAAGGAACTCTCCTGCACTGCTGGTGGGAGTGTAGACTGGTACAGCCTTTGTGGAGATCTGTCTGGAGATTTCTCAAAAAGT